AAAGCTAAAAGAGTCCTTATGGAAAGGAGCTGCTTTTCAGATGGTATATTTAACATATATCTGCAGGTTCAAAAAACTTTCAGAATTAAGAAAACCTAATTCCTCCAGTGTGTTTTTTCGATTAACAAATTGATGAAACAAAGCTACAAATCCTGCTTTTGCTGCCATCTAGTGGTCGGATTTGTTGTATTTTTTTTTACCAATGTCGTTATGTAGAGTCACTAACAACATGACATTACTACCGAGTATCATCAGAGGACTGATACTGGGACTCAGGAGAGGTGCAACAGACTTCAGGGTCACTCAAATAGTGCTATTTTTTTGTCATGCATCTTTTCCTCATATGTAGCCTCTGATCAGCTCTGCTATATGACAACGTCTTCTCCCTTTTCTATGGACATTTATCTACACGTGACTTTTCCTGCACTCACTGATTGATAATTGAACTATTGGGATCAGCATTGCAAAACAGAACAATATTCTGTGAAAGAAAACAACCAATTGTTGCAGGTGATAACCCCCAAACTGACTATAGTATGCTTCCTCCAGCTGTCTTGTCCATGATCACTCTCTTTTCAAACTGCTGCCGACTTAACCATTCACTCCTGTATTTATGCACTTACCTTGCATATTTGGCACTGGATAATTCCCCGGTAACCGGCTTCCGGAAGGTGATCTTAAAGTTTCCAAGCTCCTCTGAGGAACCAGTGATGGATGCGAGGCGGTTTCTATCCTCAACGTGAGCCTCCAGGGAGCCCTGGGTGTCCGCTGCTGTGTAAAACAACAGGGAGATGACTGGCGCTTGAGGGGCCGAGCTCTGGTGGGTAAAGACAAAAAGCCTACAATTATCACAACTTAACAATAGACATTTTTCATTTGGGTCACGTTTGGGAACATCTGCTCAAAAGGCTGAATAAACAGTCAGTACTCACATGCTGTTTAGCAGTGACCCTCCATGTCCAGTCTCCTCCGTGAGCCCCTCCCATCCTCTTCACAAACTCTGTCGTCAGTGTGAAGTCGTTGTCGCGGATTTCCTGGACGCCAAAGGTGATGCCATCATGCATCATCCAGCCATAGCCTTGCAAACGATCCCCTTGCTCACAGATGTGCCTCAGGTTTACATCCATGTCGGCAAACTGACGCATCCACATCATACCTGGGGAGACATAACGATGGAAGTTATCTGGTTGTATTGTACACCAGAGGAAGCACAAATATTTAATTTGGAAAATAATAACTAGTCAGCTGTCTCACAGAAAAAAAGGTAAATTACAAAACTCACTGGATACATGCAGCAAGTTACCGGCCAACTGGGTTTTGGGAACAGCAGTTCTGAACTAAGTGTTGGTACTCAATATTGGCAAATGTAGCCCACTTTATGCTGTTACCTAATAAACAATGTTGGTTGTCCAAATTGACTGACCGGGTAAACAGCTCTAGGGACTGAAGCCAAAATTTACTTGAATTTGTCAAGTGCCTGGGCTCGTTTCCCACCATTTCCCCAATCTAGTGCAATTAAACATTAAATATTTGATTAGCGCTATGAAGCAAATGTTTTTGTGAGTGCAAACTATTTAATATTAAAAAGGGAAAATCCACCTCAAAACAGACTGCAGTGTGCCAATGATTTGAGACATGATTCTACTGTGGATATGAAAATAAAGACAGCATCAACAACAGAGAAAACTGTCTATGTATACATTTATAGTTATATACACACACACACACACACACACACACATATATAGTTATATACACATATACACATGTACACATATACAGCTATATATACATGTACACATATATAGTTATATATACATACACACATATATAGTTATATATACATACATAATATACAAATACATACATAATATACAAACACACAAACACATTAAACATTGTCGGGGATTTTGGTATTATAGTGGTACATTTAACATCCAGGTCTCCTGAGACACCATGTTGTTTATAGCTTCACCATTCCATAACATGAAGGAGCTCTGGATTAAAATTGATGCTTTGTTTTATGTCAATTTCCCAAATACTCTACCTGATAAAATTAGTATCTTTAGAAACTTAAGGAACTCTGCTAGAATGATAAATGAAGCTCAGTGTATTGCACAGCAGCATCAGTAGGGTTTAAGAGGTTAAACGTGTATTTAAATATTAATCTGAGTGAACAATGCTCCTTTACTTGCTTTGTCATCAAAGCCAACAAGTCTGAAATATGAAAACATTTTCATATCTGATCTTTACATATTTAACAAAAAAGTTAAGTTGGTTTGGATTTTCCCTTTAACTCTTCCACCACAAATTAGGAGCAGATTCCTGAAGACAATGTTTTTAAATGTACCTTTTTTCTGTCTGTAACTATGTGTTCTAGCCCTTGGAAAAAAAGATTCTTATTTTCAAAAGGGATTCTCCTGGTTAACTAAATCAAACATAACCGGCACAGCTTCAGCTCGACACTGAACGTGTCAGCCTACCTGCCACAATGGACCTGGGACTCCTGGTTTTCATGCCGAAGTAGACCTGAGGCCTGTATGAGCCCCAGAACCTCTCGGCAGAGACCTTGGCACTGCTGCTGTTGGCATCCAGGACAGGAGGGGACGGGTGCAGGGTCACCACCCGTTTGGCCAGGCTTGATCGCATGTGGAGGGCGTAAAAGAACCAGACCAGGCTGAATATGCCAAGACCAATGGAGATGTTGATGAAGACTTTGCCAATATCAACTTTCTTTTTCTTCTCTTTTCGGGGAAATGCAGGGAGCTTCTCGTCTTTCCGCAGAAGGGGAACAGCTTCACCGGTCACCACCCTCTTCCTCTGCCTACCCATCCTGCCCTTCTGAAGCTGGAGACAACAGGGAGGAAGACATTTGTATTTAATAGTCTACCTTTGTGTGTGGCAGTGTCAATGAAAACTGGGAGGGATCTGAAGCTCTGCACTTATCAAGCAACAAACTGATTTGTGCTTTTGCCCTTCATAAAGAAATAATAATGCATAAATAAATATGACTTGACTTCCTTGTGTGCGGGCTTGTTGTACTTGTACAATACAGAATCTGACCGCTATCATAATAATAACCTAGATCGTCCTCATCGTTCCTGTTGTAAGTATGAGCTGTAACGTACGTTAAGTTCACGTTACATCAGGCTAACTGTTAGGTTAACATTGCAAGGAGTATGATGGCAGGACACGTGCTAATTAAACTCTGCTTCTATGCAAAGTGTTTCCAATTTAATTAACGTTAAGTAGTAATCACCTACACCCGTTTTAACCAGAACACATCCAGTTGGTAAATCGCCACTCCACCCCGGCAATACGTTGCCTGCAGGTTGCACGCTACTCGTTAGTCATGCTAACGTTCCTTTTTAGCGAAACCAACCGGTTGTGGCAATATAAAGTGGCTTTAATTGGTAAGGAAATAGAAAATACGGCGAAGGTCGACCGTTTTAGCTTGATGTTCATTGAGTAAATAGATACTAACCTGTCAAAGTACCAGAATCTCAGCTGCTCATTCTACGTTGCTAGCTTACTAGCCACTTCCTGGTTGGCAATTATTTTTTCTTTGACAACGTCATGGCCCGCCCTTCTCTGCCTATGATTGGCTAGTACCTTTTGCCTTCGTAGGCTCTGGGTTGGATTGGTTAGGTTTTGGCAAGAGGCGCGAGATTGGTTAGGATACAGAGGGTTAAGCCAATCAGAGCAGAGTAGGGCGGGTCATGCCTTCACCATTCTAGGAAACAAAAATATCACTCGTTTTCACTGACGTGTACTTTTTTATTAAACACTATACATGCAGTATAGAGGGGATAGTATACAAACAGAACAATAACAAAAGAGCCAGGGGTAAATCACACTACACAAGAGTATTATAAAACCTACAGCCTTTTTTTCAGCCGAATTAGAAAGTAGTTTTATATAATGTATACAACATCCTTCAAGAAAACCACAAAATTCGATTTTCTATTGTTGAATTTACATTTCTAAGAAGAAAAAAAAATTGCCAACATAACCACATTTATTTAAAAAAATATATTTGTCTTTTCTTGAGTTTTTGAAAACCACCTCATTCACCCACAATGATCAAATAAGTCTTTAAAGATATGATTAATGACATCTTCAAGGGTCAAAATTTCTTGGAGTGAGATCAATGTCAACATACATAGGTTTAAAAGTTTGTGAATTTTCATCACAATAGGAGAAGTTTGTTTTTCATTTATGCATGTAGTAATTAGCAGAGTAATTATCTATGACCTTAACCTTATTCACATTTACGATTTTATGAGGAAGCATTGAGACCTTCTTCCATGCATATAATTGACCACTAACGTGTACTCCAGTGTATTTGTGTGTGATGTTATCAATTACCCTGTTGCTTGCTCATCAACTAAAGACTATATAATATACTACAGACAGTAGAAAACAAACCATGCAAGTAAAACATTGTAGAGGTAAATATGTAATTTAATTGAAATTTATCAAATTAAGTCCTTATGTAGAGGAGTGTGTTGTGAATAGTTTGCCGAGCTAAATAGTTCAAATAGCTCAATAGTACAAAGATGATTGGATAGAATACAAAACTAACAATTATAGCACCTATTGGACAGTAGACAGCCACATGCCAGAATGAGTGTCCTGTGAAGTACACCAGTTTCCAAATGTCCCTCGACCACTTATTTACACTATAAGCATAATAAAACTGTTATGACCCATGGCCAGTTATCTTAGATGTACCATAAATGGGGTCAAGAGTCAGAGAAAACAAATCCAAGCTTTGGCCCTAAACTGCTTCTTGGTTACAGATAAACATATTTACACCTGCTCTGATCATTAAGACTTACAGAGAAGGTACAGGTACAGGACAAGGTTAAAGTATACATTATAGATCACAACTGACTGATCAGCAAAGGTGATTGATCTCTACTACACTTGCCAAATCACTTACTCCTGGTTATTCATCAATACTGCTGGCATAACCACAAAAAACAAATGCAGAAACATAATTTTGTTGCTTTTTAATGAGTGAAATATATTTCTTTGCCACATCTTTAACATTCGTCAACATGAAAAACTGTTACAAACAGTGGCGGAAAAGAATATGCATATCTGAATATGCCTTTAACATACAGTCTTCCAAGATAAACCGAGGTTGCCATTTCACAGATGTATCAGATAGGTAAACAAGTTTAAAGACAATTCCCAGATTAATTCTGCTCTCCAGGGTATCATCAGGTTACCTGTCCGGAATCAATTTCTGACCATGTGAGCTGTAGATTTATTTATTGCAAGCAACATCTGAATGCTCAAAATAGTGCTTGTTCAATCTTTTTACTTTTCTTCTTCTTTTTTTTTTTTTTTTTTTTAAACACAGATTAAACCCCAATTTCTTTTAATATTCCAAAGTATATTTGCCCTAATGCAAGTTTTAAATAACCACCCAAACACATCTTGATTTGCTTAATAAAGTGAACGTTTGGTGTGAGGGACCCAAGATGCAAGAAAAAAAGCGCAATGTCCTTGAAAACATTTCAAATGACTTGTGGCAGGAAAAAAAAAAAGGAAAAGTTAAATCTTTGTTGTTGAGCTAAATTACCAAGTGCTCACCGACTGTACAGTATCAGCTGTCTTCAAAGTGCTTTTTTTTCCATTTCTAGCACTTTACACGGAAAAAAAATAGAGACATGGCAACAGGTGAAGCAAAGCCAGAGACAAAACACCCAAATTCATCTCCCACACACCCCTGCCTGTCAACCTGTCTTTCTGCAGCTCTGACTCAAACTATTCTTGAGAAACAGGTACAAAGGGGTGCATCAACCCAAGAAATAAAGAACTTTCTTACAAAAAGAAAATGTCCAAAACAGTGATTAACAAGATGAATGGAACTCAACGCTTCTGTCTACTTTCACCAAACGGCAATGCTGGTTTGTGTAATGACAACATTATTGGGAAGGAACAAGGAAACTTAAGACTGCCAGCATGCCTGGTTTCAGAGGAAAACATGCTGGAGCGGAATCTGGGTCTAACAACCTGTAGACACCCCCCCCCCTCCTCCTCCTCCTCCTCCTCTTCCTGCTGCTGCTGCTGCTGCTGCTGCTCTTCATCTTGTGGATTAGTTCTTTATTGCCCCTCCATCTCCCTCGCTCACAAAACGCTTTCGTCCTCTAGTGGAAGAAAGAGAGTTTAGAGAAACATGTTAGTGACCAAAAAACCCCAAAACCAAAAATGAATTGATCCTAATAACAATCTCTCTGTTGTCAAAGCTCGATATAGGTTATTTCTCTGTACCATAGAGCTACATTGGTGTTCAAAAACTTAAAAACCCAACCAGATCAATGAGCCACACTATTGTACTGAGTGACATAATTCTTCATTAAACACTTACACTTTTTGGTTTTCTTATTTTCATGATATTTGTTGACAATAAAATAACACCAGCCATTAGGAATGATTTAATTATGGCGATATGAAAATAAAACAATGTTTTAAAGTGGTGAGAAATGGCCAACTCACCTGGCGGGATATGCATCCCTCAGCTGTTTGGTGATGATGGCCTCCTGGTAGCAGAGGTCCACAAAGGTCTCCATGATAGAGTGGGCATGTGGCACATCAAGGCTGATTTCTGGGAGCTCATCATAGACACGCTGGAAACCCTACATGGAAGAAGCAGCATATAAAATGGATAGTATGACTACAAGGTGGAACGCACATGAATTTTCATCCGATATGCAAATCATGTCCTTAATAAAGAAAATGATACAAAAAAAACTAAACGCAAGGCACTGACCCTGTTCATCTGATCCACAGTGATGAGGCCTGTTTTCCAGAAGGACTGCAGCAGCTTTATCATCACGTGACTGGCAGTGTCTCCTTTCGACTCCAGCACCATCACTACAGCCTGAAAAAAATGATATAACATATAGAATGTGTAAGAAAGAGTATTCTGCTGCCATCTAATGTCTATCACCTAATAATGAAAAGTCAATGAGCAATACAGATGTGCAATGACCACGTTTAACCACATGGTGGCAGTATTTGCCATTTTACGTTAGTTTATAGCAAGAAAAGAGAAGGTGCAGTATTTAAACATTTAACAAACATATTTGAACAAAAACACATTTAATTTGTGGTTATTTGTAGATAATGAAACTCTGAAAAAGTCCAGCTGGGTGAATCCTTTCTAAATGTGCTGCATGTGTAGAACAAATTCCACCTGGCTATGCAACAGTACATGGTGTAATTTGTACACAACTGAGGCCAAAAAAATAAAAAATAAAAACTGAAAACTTGATTGGCCGTTTGGAACCAACACATAATCACACGTTTTTATTTACAAAATAAGATGCCACTCAGTTTATTGCCTTTACTTTACAGCTACACCCTGTAAATAATCCCGAAGCAATTACATTTGTATGGAGGATAGACCGTTCCCTGTTATGCAATGTGCCTTTCTATTTTGGATTGATCAATTTGGGCTGAGCTCTGTTAATACATGCAGTACAAATGAGACACGCCTCACACACACACACACACACACACACACACACACACGCACACACACACACACCTTGGCAGAGAACAGAAATGACAGTCCCTAACCAGTAAGAGACTTGAACCTGTGTAGCTGTTATCTTATCATGATGTGGGGAGAACATGGAGAAAGCTTTTGTTTGTTTTCTTGGTGAATATGTGGAAAAGTGTGTGATGACAGAATAAAAACCAAACCAAGACTGACACAATAACATCAAGTCTTTGATACCTCATAGACCAGCTCATGGTGGAAGTGTGGGACTTCCAGGTCCCGCAGACAGTGCTCTGCCTCAGATACGTCTCCTGATATCAGGTACTCCTTGAGCAGGAGGTTCATCTGGAACAACGACACAAACAAGCACAGACAAATGAAAAAATGAAGAGGGTTGCTTGTTTTGCCTATAAAAGTTAGCTGAATGTAATAAATATCCTTTGGAATTTATTGTGAAGAGACTAAAAGAAGGACAGACTGTTAAAAAGAGAAAACCAGAGCAACAGAGTGATGATTGAGGCATGAATATTGATGGATTAGAGCTGTAGAAATATGATGCTAATTATGCGGGATTGTCCATGTTTAAGTGCAGGTACCTGGCCTTTATCTAGGGCAAACCTGTATTTGATTCAACACACCCTGGATAAAGGAAAAATAATTCACAGGACTTAAGAGAGCTTAAGTCCTGTACAAAGAGCTGTGTGTGTGTGTGTGTGTGTGTGTGTGTGTGTGTGTGTGTGTGTGTGTATGTGTGTGTGTGTGTATATATATATATTTAAAGGGATTTATTCTAGCAATAACCTGACTTCCTTGGGAAATAAAACTCAGCACACATCTGTCTTCTTGAAAAAGATGAACATTTCTTTTGGAGCTGTGCTTGAATATTTTATTCTCTGCTTCATTTGTTAGTATTCATTTGTTATGTCACTCATAACACATGAACCATTTTGCTTTAAAACTATTTATGGACCAATTACTCACACCACTTGAGATTCAAGAGGAGCTTGACAGATGCAACCAGTAAAAGAAACGTTAAAGCTACAAGTCAATTCTGGGTCTAATTCACAGAGCTGGGAATGTGTGGTCGTCCGAACATCTGGGGGGAAAAAAACAACATGGGGGGGGGGGGGGGGGGGG